GACTGATTTCCAGCTAGAATACAGGCACGGGTTAAGGACAGTAGTTCAGCGGGTTGCGCACTCCGCGTACCAGGAAGACTGTGAGCTTCCATGACTGCATGTGGCAAACATACCGCAGAACGAGCGCAAAGTTGCCCAGTCGCGTCTCTTTTGCACAGGCCATCTGCAAGAACAAAACAACAATCAGGGTTAACTAGAGGTGGATCGGTGAGATCTGGACACAAAGCAAATACCTGGTCTGTTTGAGTAATGCAGTCATGACTTAACAAGCAAGTATCTCCATCGTGCAGGAAAGGTAAAAGAGAGGCAGGGTTTAAAACATTGCAACGAACAGTAATCACATTATCGGCAGCTGTAATAGACAACTGTCATTGGGGAGATTCTAGAGAGTGGAAAGCTAGAGAGCGGACTGGTTGAGGCCAGGTTGGGCAGTTTGTTTTCCAGTGCCCACGTTGCTGGCAATACTTACAAATGTCATCTGGACGCGGTCCACGCTGGGAATGCAGCTGAAAAGGAGGTGCAGTTGCTCTGCAGCTACAATTTGGGTGAGAGCTCTGATTGGACATTGGGGCCCCAGGATAAAAGTCCTGGCCAGGTTGGGCGTACGGGCAAGGATCAGTACGCCGCTTTTGTTCTAAATGTAGCATTTTCAAGGCCATCAGGTTAGTCTTCAGTTCTTTTCTTTTGTCCTTTTCCACCTGCTGCTGTTCCCAGTAAATCAATAGATGCCCGAACCATTTCAGTCTTTTCTTTGGTGGGTCCAGTCTACACCAAGTGCTGTAACGGTTCTTGTCACTGTGGCCATACTTTCTTTACGTAGGTGGTAACTATCCACCCTCACACGTCATCTGCCACAGGATCCATGCCAGTATGCCTGTGGATGGCTGCACAAAGTCGATTTGGAAGCTCGGGGGGATGCTCATCAGGATTTGGTCTGCAAGTTGCGACTTTAGCCCAATCTACATGAGTCTTAGCTACTCTGGTAATGGCATGTAGCAAAGTAGCCCTAGCATTTCGTAAATTTTGCAGCCCTGGATTGTCATCATGCTGGTAACCGTTTTGTGGCAAAGGGGTGCCATCCGGAATACTCCTACTTTCTGCAAGTAGGAGTCATTTCTGTTATGGATGTAACAGACTATTTAAGAGCCAGTGTCCGTGAGACACTGTGGGACTGTCAATACTGAAGACCTGCTGCAACTTACCTCTAAAGTCAGAAGGGCTTTCTCTGAGTTTTGGAAAGGGATTACAACAGGTAGTGATACCGCTAGCTGTCAACGGGACATGACTGACAGTCCGTTGGCCTCCTGGTATTTGAGGCGGGTATTGTCACTATGGGCAGAGAACAGTTGACTTAAAGTACCACAGGTCTCCCAAGGTGGTCACCATCACTCTTCCTCCCTCTGGGGCATATAGGGTTATTACAGTCTGCCCGTTCAAACCTCTTTGGATATTCTTCTCCTCGTATTAGGGCCTTAATTCAGACTTTAAATTTTTCTTCACTGCTCACATACTAGGTAGGTAATCATCATTGGAGTCTAACTTACTTGAAGCTGGGGGAGAAAGCAGGCTTGCTGGTGGCTCTGTAGGTGAACAGCTAGCTGCAGCAGGCGCACAGCTGACTGTTTGGGTAGGAGGAGGAGGAGGAACAGGACTAGGTCCCCAGGAATCTAGTAGGGCTTCCCTATCTTCTCGGGTGCAGGTAACGTTGGGCACCGGACTACTAGGGTAACGGTTTTTATATGTTGGAGGCCACCTTGGAGCTGATGGAACACTAGGGGTTTTCTCCTTTATAGGAGGCCACCCCCATTGTTGCTCCTTTAATGTAGCCAATTGCCTTTTCAATTTATCATTACAGTCTCTGAGACTAGTCTCAGAAGATTTTAGTGTTCTTTTCTAAGCCTCATTATACCATAGGTAGCAATATGTCATCTGCTTTGGCTCCGGCATCTCTACGAATCCCGTCAGGTAACTTATTTTTCCGGGATCAAAGGCTCCTTTAGCAGGAAGCTGTACCCCAGGGTTTGCATAGGTGTCACGATGGCAGGCACGTGCCAATTTAACTAAGCGCTTTTGCTTCCTTGGACCCAATTTAGTTCCATATTCGTTACACATGTACGCCAAAGGTGTTTTTGGGTCTGGCCGCGAGGATCCTCGACCCGTGGCCAGGATAGTGTAACAAATCCAGGAGAGATTTAACAGAAACACAACAGGAAGGGGAAACGGGTTCGTCAGAGCGATGCCCGGTGCCAGAGACACAAAAGGAATGCACAAACTGGAACACGAACCCTTGCTTTCAAGATTGGCTCGCAAGCGGCCAACTTGGGGCGGCTGCCCGTGAACCAGACACAAGGGAAGGACACGTGACAATCTGTCCAAAAGACATCAGAGCTGG